CAAGCGTGTGCGGCTTTATAATAATTGCATTCCTTTCTTAGTTTGTTTAGCTTCGTACGTCTGGTTTTGCGGTTTCGGCAATTTCAGCAGCCTATAAATTCCATCCCAATTTTAGCCCTCCCTTCTTCCACGCGCTTCTCCCGCGCGTCCTCTCTCTTTCCTTCTTAATTTCTGCCCCCAGTTTACCCTTTTTTATTTTTTTTTTATTTTTAATATAATACATGTACCGCCGCATAACATATGTATTTCTTCTAAAAAAGATCATTTTAATGAGCTACAAGTATATTATCTTGTACCTGAAATTTGATGAGATCAAATTATATCTATGCCCTTTTATTTTGAAAATGTTACACCTAATTAGAAAAAAGGGTCAAATTTTGTGGTACTATAAAGTAAGGATGTTGTAATATGTAAGTGGGAACATTCCTTTCTTGGCTAAGGTTCTTTTTCTCTTTCATTTCTTTTGTCAATATGTGGGCACTAAAACTATGGGTGTGAGAGAGCATTTGAATCTTCAAATTTTCTACTTCTTTTCCTTTCTCAAATCAAACGGATTCAAAATTTATGTAAAAGTAGAACTCTGTTGAATAGTAACTCATTTTTACCACTAGTCTTGAGGGTAAAAGATGTATTAAATGCACACCCATTTTCATTTCTTTTCTCCTTACCAATATACTTCCTTTTATGGATCATTTTTAACACCCTTTCCTAATTTCAAAACATATTCATTTTCCCTCTCTATAATTTATCTATAAATATATTTCTTTTTTCCTCCTCTCCATATGGATACACTAATTTCTGGTCTCTCACCTTTTTTTCTTTTGTTATTTTGAATTGATAATTATTTTATTTCGATGTGTTCTTTATTTTTTATTTGTTATTCTTAAAAAGCATGATTATTTAATAACCCATTCAAATTTTCTTTCTTTTTTCAATATCTTTGAAGTTTAATAAAATAGTTTCTAAAAATTGATTTCTATTTTTCAAAATCTTATTATTATTTTTTTCTTCTTCATGTCCACCACTTTTGACATATTTCTTTTCTAACATTTTTTTTTCACTAATTTTTTTTTGCAGGTAAATTTCTCTCCCTATCCTTTTCTCTCTCAAATTTTCATCTCTATATATTTTTATTCTATTTATTCTAACTTTTTCTCTCTAATTTTTTTTTCTCACTCTCTAGTTTGTTTTGAGATGTCTTTTGCTCTTAACTTTACTATCTCTAAAACTTTTCTATTTTCGTCTTTTAACTTTTCTCTCATTAAAGGTTTTTCTAACTTTTCTTTCTTTGATTTTTTCCTTTTATCTCTCTGAATTTTTATTTTATCAATGTAGGAGGAGGACAAAAAAACTTCGTAAAATTCAGTTCCTATTACAAGAACGAGGGAATGCATTTCCTACTATGTCCCCATCCCGTCCCAATTTTATTATTTAGATAATTAATATATATTTTATTAACCGTTTTATTATAACTGTAGATAAAATATTTAATGTTAAAACTAATTATTTATAGTAGTAAAAATAAAATTTCAGTAAATAGATCTAATTTATTACTCTTTTTAATTTTTAAATCCTAAATTAATTAAAATTAATTATTAAATTGGTAATTTTTCCAACGAAGATCTCTGTCTCCAAATGTGAACTCCTCGATTTAGAGTAATTTGAGAACAAGGTAGAGATGGAGACCAAAAATTTTGGTGAGGATGAGGATGAGAGACGACATCTAGATTTCCTCCTACACTGCAGTCATCTCTAATCCTAATATATCTCTTCAACTTTCTAACTTTTTCGATCGTCAAACATTTGATTTTTAGTTAAAACAAATAACACTTATCAAATATATATGATTTTTATTTATAAAAACAGAAAAAGTTTAAAACTAAAAATAGAAATCGATGTTTATAAATTTGTCGATTTTAATCTATTTTTTACAACATAAATATCAGTTATTCAAAGATAGTTTTATAATAAGATAAGAAGCATGATTAAAATATGAAAACAAACAATAAAGTCATTTGATAATTAAACATTCTTCGAATTAGCTTCTTATACGACTGGTCCTTGTATGAAAAAAAAACACTTATTTATATGTAAACATTTTTCATGTTTTTGTTTTCAGTTTATCTTATTCTCTTTAAAATTCGGGTGATGAGTATAATATTAAGTAAACATAAACTCCACACTCATTGGAGATAGTTGAGAATTTGAACATCTAATCCTTTACTCAATAATATTTACTTTAATTACTTTTTTTAAAAAATAATAATAAAACAAACTTAAATTACAATAAGAGATAATCAACAAAATGGCTGAAAGCCCTAACTTCTTCTCTCCCTTTCTAATTTCATGGAGATTATAACGGGGCGTTTCCAGTGACATCATCATATTTGTTGCGGTATGGATATCAAATTATTTCCTCTTTACAAGTGTTAGCTAGTTGAAGCATGCTTATGTTTTTTTTAGTACAACATGTATAAACGTGAATTCGAACTCACAATCTCTACTCAAATTAGTTTTGAAATATATTCATGTTGGTTAGTGTTGTACTATGTTATTTTTTAATGTGTCGTGTTGAATTAGAACACGACCACGACGGAGAGAACTTAAAGAAAAGGAAAAAAATTACAATTTGAAGTTAATCAACGGTGGGGCCCACCAGATATAATTAAACAAGAAAGAGAGAAAAGAGGCGACAACCTAAAAAATCAAACCCCCATCACAAAAACGAGAGCAAAATGAAAAATCCATATAAAATAAAGTCAGCAAAAATTGCAATGGGCAGGTCAAGGTGGGTTTATTTCACTGGCTTAATTTGGATAATTTGAGGAAAATTCAAAGTGAACATTTTAAAAAAAAAAAAAAAAAAAAAAGATTTCAGAGGAAGAAAACTGCACCAAAATCTTGGTTGGTTTAACCTATTCTGGACTAAAATTAAAAAAGAGAGGAGAAAACGATAGCCATAGCCATTACAGACACACAGTGGGTACAGCCTATCCAAACCCCATTTCCATTACAGATTTGCCCAAGATTTTGTCTGTATGGAATTTGGATTTGATGTCCAAAACAAAACAAATAAATAAAACAAAAGGTCCCCCTCCTAGACGGCGGCTTTATGCTCTTAAAATAAGTAATAATAAATCAACGTTGTCCACATATACACTCAATCAATGAATTAATTAATTAAGGTTCATAGAAAGTGAAAGCTAGGTTGGACTAGAAAACATGGTAGTAAAATAAATAGCAGAAAATCTGGGGGGGAAGTGGAAGAAGAAGAAAAATTGGGGGATGGGATTGCAAAAAAGATAAAATTTGGGAGATTGGCGTCATCACGTATCGTCTTGGTCGCTGCCTACTGAAAACTGAAACTGAAACTGAAACTGAAACTGCACTTTCTCCAGCCGTCATTTCAACCTCTCTTCCTCCCTCTTTTTTCTACTCCAACCGCCACGTGGTCCCCTGCCCCTCGTTCTTTTTTCTTTTTATTTAAAAACCAAATTCATATATAATTATTATGTCTTTTCAATTTTCCTTTTTTTTTTTTTGGTTTCAGACAGCGCATCGATTTAGAAATTAAAAATTTCATCCACAGGCCACAGCCACAACCCCACAACATGGCTCTATTCAAACAAATCAACCCATATTTGTAAAGTTCCTTTCTTTTTTCTTTTCGCTTTTTTTTTTCTCTTTCTTATCAAATCGTACTATATACTAAACCCAATTATTTGGGTTTTTTCTTTTCTCACTCTTAAAACTGGCGTTTTTTATTTTTCCTTTTAAAGACCCATAAAAAAAATAATAAAAAAAAGGAGAATCGGTGAGGTGAGGTGGGGTCCAGGCGATGGCAGGTTGGTCCCTACTCTACTCACGAGTGAGGCTGTCGGTAGCAGAGACGTCACGTCGGCTTAACGACGCCACTGCAACCAAACACGCCGCGCAAAATGGAAACAAAAACAAAAACATAAAAAAATTGTTTTTTGTTTCTGGGACAGCTCCCGCTTAAACTCCGTGATCTTGTCGCTAACGTCGTCCACTATCCATCGTATCCAAATATTTTATTATTTTAATTGTTATTTTTCCCTTCAAATTAACCCAAATCCTACTCTGATTGATTTGCAATTGCAATTTACAGCATAACCAAAACGTGAGGTATTTTATTTTCCTAATATTGACTAATTCGTTGCAAAACTTAATCATGTATTGATTGACCTGATTTTTTCTTTAATCAATCACAAAAATTTAATAAAGGGACTCCGTCTTCCCCAAAAAGCTAACATTTTGATTGAGAGAGAGAGGTGGAGAGAAACGTTTATTTGGAATTGGGAATAAATAATTGAAAATTGAAATTGCTGCTGAGAGATGGTGACATCTCAAGGGTTGGGAGAGCATGTAATATTGAGGAGTCCAGCTTTATACACTCACATTCTAACTGTTGACTCATTCCTAATAGTAATACATTGAACCAGCCTGGATTCTTCTTTTTATGGCTAAAATCAAGGCTTCAAAATTGTTGACATTTTTTATACCTGCATCTCCTTTTCCAAAGTTCCCTCAGAATCCATTGGGATTGGATTGCTGAGATTATGTTGCACTTGCACATAATATGAGAAGACTTTGTTTCTTCAAACAAAACAAAACAAGTGAATGTCATTTCATTTTGAAGTATTAAAACTTTCCTTCTGTCAAAGAAGAGAGAGAGAGAGAGAAGGAACTATATTCATTCATTCATTCATTCATTCCCCCTTTACCTTTACTGATAACGTTTTAAATGGGGAGGGCAGGCAGGCGGCGGCCGCAGTCCCACTCGTCGTGTACGGCGGGGGTTGCCGAGAAGCCAGCCAAGCAACACGGCTCACTGCGGCCCCTCTCCTCTGCCTCAAAACGGCGCCTAAAGTTGAGGCCGCCACAAACAATCTCCACCATTCATCTTTGTGGGCCATCTCTGCTCCATCCAAAAAGCTAACCATCAGCTTCTACTGCAAAAAAAAAGAAAGAAAGAATTCCTTTTCTCCTTTTCTAGTTCCCAGCTTTACACAAGACACAGCATGGCATAGTAAAATTCAATTTAGAGAGAGCTTATAATGAGCTCTCTAATTAATTCTTATGAATCAGATTGTGGAACTATGTTCCTCCCAATTCAAGTTCCCAAACAAAATGCCTAAATTTGAATTTACCGAGTGGAGGAGGGGGTTGTTCATTTGTGAAAAATAATTGTGCGGGGGGAGTATTCAGCATCCAAGACAATGATTCCATTCAAAGCTAATGATATTAAAGATTATGGTCATGCAGTTCAATGGTGGCTCTACAACCTCTAGATTTGTTTATACATACAGCACTCTTTGACATGTACGCTTCAATTTCCTTATTTTGGAGAACATTACACAAACTCACTAAGGATTTTCCATATCGCTTGAACCAGGATGAGCATCTGCATTTAAGTCTTCCATCATCTCTTCAACTATTCTCCATCTGTTACAGGTATTAAGAAAAGAAAAACTCAGGACTAATAGTGTATTTACAGGAAACCTGAAGTTATCTAGAAAGATAATGAAAGTGTCCAAGTACCTCTCAAGAACAAACTTTCCCTCCTTGTACTTTTGGTATTTGTCATGTGTAGTTACCTATCGAAATGCAGCAATATTAGTTTTGCAATCTAATACTGCAATCAAATCAACCAGTCAAGAAAAATTCCTCATAAAGACACACAATCTTTCACATGCATGCAGATCAAACCATGAAAAGCACCCTCATCAATTCCAGTTTAATGTAATTTCAGGATTTCAAGCATATGAAAGGTTATATGATATGCATACACATGTATATATTGGAGACGCTTTCTATTCATCCTGTCTTGTAACAGTGAATAAGATAGATTTTTTGTAAGTCAGTATGGTAACTGCTGGCATAAGTTCTAGCAACCTGCCATATTCCATATTTAGCTGTTCAAGACAAGCCTAGCAGACAGCCAGGCAGACATGGTCGTTGCACCTTACCTTGCATATTACATTTGCATCCGATTGTGATACTCAGATTATGTTTTGTTCTATCTGTCCAAATTAGAAATGAATTATTACACGTGCACTTTGCATGAATGGAGTAGTTTGCCTATTACGTTCTTCAATTTTCCTAGTTAAAAGAATGCAATATTATTTTCATTGCCATCAGGCAGGTTCTCTTCTTTTCTGTAAAGATCTCAATGACCCTGTATGAGAAGTGGTTTCTTTTACAATCTCAGCCTGAGAAAAGTGATATCTGAAACTAAAAATATTAAAAACTTTATAATAAACTCAAAAGAGAAGAGGATGAAAAGCAAAAGAGAAGTAGAACAAAACAAAACAAAATAGAGCTGAAACCTCCTGGGTCGGGGTCTTGGGGCGAGCATGGGTGCCCCTTGATATAGTGGAGCGGAGTTCCAACTCCCAGTTATCATAAAAAAATAAAAATAAATAAAAAGGCTGAAACCACGAAGAACTCTGGCCTATGAGAGAAATCCCCAGTATTTGATGCGATAGAGAGTTGGACAACCTTCCCTCCCGGAGGGGGAAATTTAGATTTGCGGCAGTTCTGTATTCAAGTATATAACAACAAATTTTACTTTCCAAAAATTTTAGATAAAATGGGGTTTTGTTATGTGTTTTATAATAGCAAAGAGGTGGCTTTGCTCTTCTCTTCCAAGAGCGTTTTCTTTTTCTCTGGTTTTGGCTTATTCTAATAGGTTATCTTTCATAAGGATTGAACTGTATTAACAATATTCCAACATATTCTCTTGGCGTCTCCTAATTTGTATACAATGTCCATGCTTTATAGATAATTATTATTACTACTAATACTTTTGAATACTTGATGGCATCAAACCAACTTATGCTCGCATAAACTAGTTTCAGGGATTACCTTGATCTAATTCTGAAAGTTGAAATATGCATGAGATACGTAGATGATAACAAAACCACGAACTTAAATATTTAAGCCTATAAATAGCAATTCATGATGATTTTTACTAAAATGTCATTAATTCAATTAAAGATGGTCAAAATTAGACCACGTATCAAAGATAGTTGGAGACGAAAGCTTACATATTTCCATCCAAGAATTTGTCCGCAACAGCAACAAAAAATATCTTCCACAGTGTGCATACCAGAAAGCATCAACCTCTCCTCCTTGGGTCCAGCTGTCACATTAACTCTAGCAACAGGTAAAAGTAATCCAATTTATGTTACAATGAAGATTTGAGGTCAGTAAAAAAATCAAAATAAGGTCATTTCATCTCAATGTTTGTAGAATAGAAATGCACTACAAAAGAGAAGAGGGATAACTAATAATTATAAAAGGCACAAGGCATCATACTGTGAATTGTGAGTTGTAAAGACTGCAAAAAGAATCCTAGTAGAAGTATGAAGCGTCACAAGATATTTCCAATTCCATATATAGATATATTGTCACACTAAATAAATCAGATTTCAAAGGGAATTCAATAGAATCCCCTCCCTCTTACAGAATCCTCCTCAAATGGTGCCTTGCAAAGAGTCTAGACATTTGGATTTGAAGCTGGACTTGAAAGCAAAATTTAATAACAAGGACACTTACACATTGCTGAAAAGGTATGCCCTCCCTTGGCGGCAATTGAAAGTCTGGGTCAATAATAGAACAATAAAAAATTCATCAAAATGGACAATGATAACTTCATAATCGATTAACTATGCAGAACGAAACGAGCAACACGCACAATATTATGTTATGATAATAAAGCAGCATAAAGATTCATCAAACTGTAATAACTTAAAAAGTAGCTTCGTGGTGCAATCTCAAAAATCAAAGTGAGAAAAAAGAATGGGAAATTGATCGAGATATCAAAGGAGTTAATACTCCAACTGAGCATTTGAGACTCCGTCGCATCAGATTACCTCCGAGTAGTAGAATATTAACCATGCAACCAAAATATGATTGAATCGTTGATAATTCAAAATTGCTCAAAAAGCAAAAAAATGGAATCCGAAAATACAAAAGCTATATCAATTAAACCAGAAAAACATGATCATTAATGATAAAACAAACAGAACAACCTATCCTCATGCAAACCTATAATTTGAGGACTAAATAAACTCCCGTTTCGCTCCAATATGTTCAGAAATTCAATTCCACAATGTCAATAAACAAAATTGTAGCATATCTGGGCGGAATTAGACGCGCGGGAGCAAATAAAACGGGGAGATAGAGAGTGAGAGTACCCGAGAGAGGACGTCATCGGCAAGAGCAACGTTGTTATTGCAGAAGCGGCATCTATAAGACCTGCCTTCCAATTCAACGAGAAAAACCCTACCCATTTAAAACCCTAGAATCCCAAATTGAAGACCTAATCTCTCTGAAACCTCATGCGCAATTATTCATCCCTCTCTCTGTTTTGTCCAGAGAAAATCAAAATAACGAACTTGAAAACATTACCATGCCTGGTCGGTTTACGAAATGTTAGTAGCCGTTTCCTTTCAACTACAGGAACCGGTAAATACCGGTTCTTCCCTTCTTCTTCTTCTTTTTCTTCTAACCTTTAATTATGGGCTTCGACCGAGTAACCTCCCAGCCCAGTTAATAATGGGGCCCAAAATCTTTTCTTTTTCTTTTTTTCTTTTTTTATTTCTTTTACTACGAAAATTATATATATATATATATATATATATATATATATATATATATACAGCAATAAAAACTGAGAATTTTTATTTTTTATTTTAAAAAATTTTGTGATATATTTGAAGCTAACAAAAGTAAAAGGCGTTTTTTAGTTCAATAATTCATTTTAAGTTCAAAAAAAAATTAAATTAGTTCCATTAAGCAAGTTTCTTTCAAAATTGTCACGTGCTTTTGTGGGAATAGAGCCTATTAATGGTATCTAGCAATGGCAATGCTATGTTAATATGAGAATTTAAAACTCTTTTTTATGGCAGTTTTTGTAAAGCAGATAATAGCCCACCAAATGTTGCTCATGATACAGAATTATGAGTCATGTGTCTGCTAAACTGATCTGTAGACAAGACAAGTCAATTACCTTCAAATAGAATCTTGCACTACTGTGGTGTACTCAACCACACACTCCAAAACTTAAAGTTAATATTTAGTTTGAGTAAGTGTCTAGCTGAACTCAAATAGGTTGCTAAGAGATTGTGTGCGTTAGGGAATGTGAGACTCCAACGCCTTTTATATGAGAGTTTTGGGAAGTGTAGCCTTGCTACTCTAACCTTATTTTGTGTCAACGTGAATTTCTCTCTAGTATTATCTACCTTCCCCATGTTGGAGTAAGTAAATTTTCCATCACAATAGGTTGTCTTTCAAGTCAACAACAAGTAATTCTATCGCCCCACCTCATCCTAACGTGATTGAATTGATACTCAGTACCTGTACCTAAAACCGACACAAGTGAATAGGTAGTTAGAGAATACTTAGAGACGTGAGACAACTATCTCGTTAGAACTTGGTTAGATACATATTTTCAATCGAGGGGTCCATAACTCACCACAATACACATGGCAAGTATGCATGAGATAAAAATATGCTAAAAAATAAACGCTACATAGACTTTTATTTTATAGCCTCCATCTGTACATATACTTTTTGTTTCCATCAACTCCATCTTTCCATTCTTAAGAGAATTTTTGTTTGGGGAAAGGCTTCTCCATTAAGCCATAACCCCATCAGTCTTGTCCGCGGCAGGCAGTGGCACCATAGACATCCTATGATCATATACCAAATTAGAGTATAGTTGACTAATTTTTTGACTAATTAAATTAACAATATTCCTTTTTAGATTTCACCTTTTAAACCATTATTTTAGTCTCCACTCTCATTCCTATTCTATTTCTAAAATTTTCCATTTTAGTCCTCTCATTAATTTTTTATTCAATTACAAGTTTGGTCTCAAGTTTTCAAGATTTCTAATTGAGGTGTAGTTCAAAAAACTTCTTCTAATACACTCATAAAATTTCAATTTTATGTCTAACAAATTCATGTCATTATTAAACTCAAATAGAAAATATAAAAGAAAGCTTCTGCGACCGTCAAATTAATTTAATAATTACAGTGGAAGCCCAGAACTCAAAAACGAAGAGAGTAGATAACAGAGGAAACTTAAAACACTGGAATGATTTGGCATTGGCTACCCATAACTCTACAAAAGTTAAAATCCAAATAAAAAATTAAAGGGGAAAAAAAAAACCATTGCCATTTCCTTAAGATAAAGATAAGAGAGACGACACAGACTCTTAGTACAGTATAGTATTGCTATTGGTGAGAACATGTTACGAGAAAACAGAAAATTGGAGAGAAAACGACATGTGGCAATCCATCATAGGTCAACGTCCCCTGCATTTGCGCTCTTTAAACGACAACCAAAACTCGTGTTTTGTCCTCTTCCCTTAATTCTCATAGTACGTGTTGGAATAAGTGGACCCCACTCCCACCCACCACCGCTCCCCCGCCTCCTCTGTCGTCTCTAGATTCTGTTCTCCGGCGCCGACGACATGGACGGGGTAAATGAATGAGTAATGACCTTCGTCTTTCGGCTCCGTCACCGAAAAAAAAGTTAGATCCTTCTACTAGTACAACAGGTGTGTATTAATTAATTAATTACATGGAGAGCTTAATTCCAAAAAAAGAAAAGAAAAGAAAAAAGTTCCGATAATATCGATCGACGTCGGATAAACTAAGCGGTCTCCGGCGGGGGGAAATTGAGATCGAGATCCAGAAGCAGCGGTCTCGATTTGTGGTCATTTTGGTTGAGATCAATGACGGAAGACGAATCCGAGTCACTTTGAGCTCCGGTCATCGAAACCGGCTTTTGGCGGAAAATGGGATCGTAGAATAGAACGTGATTGGGGAAAACTCCTCCTCCAGCCACCTGCTGGAATGGGAACGGCCGCCGGGATCCGGCAGCGTCGCCGTCGCCGTCGTGATTGTCAGGGTCCCGGCTGGAGGATTCGACGGTGCTACTCCGAGTGGGGCTGTGATTGAGTTTGGACGATGGGAAGAGAAAGGGAAAGGGGAAATTGGTCTTGGCCTTGGCGCCGCGGAATTGGCGGGCGGCGGCGTCGTAAGCTCGCGCGGCGTCCTCGGCGGTGTCGAATGTACCTAGCCAGACACGGGTCTTCTTGGCCGGATCTCTGATCTCGGCGGCGTATCTTCCCCACGGCCTCTTCCTGACGCCTCTAAAATGCGGATCCTTGCTGGCGCAAGCGTCGGGCATGATCGCCGCCTTAGCCTTAGCCTTCTCCCTCGGCGCCATAAACGAGAAATAATTGAAATATTATTTGGGTATTGTATTCTCGGGCAGGGGCAGGTGAGTGGAAATTAAAGTATAAGAATATTGTGTGTTTTGAAAATGGCTGGTTGGATTTGTAATTGTATAGAGAAGAGGGGGAATTTGGGTTAAATAGAAGAATTGGACTTGATAGATACGAGATGGCGGAGAGTCAAATGAGGGATTTTGACTGCTGGCCATGTCGTAAGCCGACCGCGTCACCGTGTAAGAGGATCATCCGCCATCCAACGGCTCAGATTCAACAGGGGAGCAGGGCATTTTGGGGATTAAAAAAGAAGAAGAGAGTAAAAATGTAAGCGGCGTTTTGGTTGGTTGGTTGAGGGTTCAGCCCCCGCGTTTTGGATCGGTTATGGAGCCGCTCGGTGGGACCCAACGGATAGTACCGACCAACCATTGACGCGTGTTCCAGTTTCCTCGTTCGTCGATAATAAAAATCGTGCTAACCTTACGCCACAGCAGCCTAAAGGGTTCTGCTACTCTCACCACTACTGTGACGACTTCAAACTTCCTCCATCACCGCATGCCCACCTTCCTTAATTCTTCTTTACAAATTAATCGTTTTATAAGCTTAAAGTTTCATATTTATGTTACTCTATAATTTTAAATTGGAAAAGAAATTTTTTTTCTCATCTACAGAAACTCGCGCTTTATCAATTCTTTTTGTCGGTCAATCAAGTTACTCAGTATCCTCACCCTTATTTAATTGGTTGACCAACCTTTTATATTAAATCATCACTTGTTAATCTAATTAATATATATATTAAATAATGTTAAAAACATATGCTTTTTAGCTCTTAAGATCAACAAAGCCTAAGCGGTTTTAAATCTCCACCCTTCCAAATTTATTAGGCTTAAAAAAACTTCTTACAACTAAAGTTCTTTTTTAGAAATAAGAGAAATGATATGGCAATGGTGGGTTCATTTATTCGCTTTGTTTATTTTATTCAACATAATTAAATACGATCGTTGTCAATAATTTAAATAAAAAAATTACAGTATATTATAAGTATAAGTGATGTTTGGTTAATCACTTTTAATATTTTCTCCTAATCAACACATCAAATCTAAAATGTTATGATCCAAATATGTGGTTTCTAAATTGATATTAATCAGTAATTATTCCATTCTTATTATTATTCTTTTTAGCAGGAACTATTTCATCTGGTCAATCCTTACTTATTATGAAGGATTAGTTACTATTTGAAATGCTTCTCAAAATATTATATAACCAACATATATGATTCTAAATATTGTGTTTCATGATAAGGAAAATTTCTCCAAATTTTCTAATTCCTCACTGTACGCATGTATTATAGAACTGCATGTGTGTGTATTTCTTAGGACCACTCGGTTGTTGTTCTTCATCCATATTTTCTATTTTCACACCTTTACATTCTCTTCTAACCTTTTCTAATAAATTATAGACTTTTTCGCGTACGGAATTTAAACAATTGAATGCTAGCTTCAGAGAGAGAGTACCAAATCATTTTCCATGTGAAAATGGAGTGATAAAAAAGAAAAGGAAAGAAAGGAAAGGAAAATAATAATAGAAAACAAACAAACCAGGTCAGGTCAAATCGGATTAGACGACCATGATAATTATAAATCTGTATTTATAGAAGTTTGAAGTGAAAGGCTTGATTTGTATAATATATGTTTGGATTGTGTTAACCAAATTATGCTTTGTAAATATTAATGTGATATAAAAATTCAATTTTCTACGTTAATTTTATATATAGCTTGTGTCGACTTCAATGTTGTTCAGATGGTCATATGATGGTACTAAAAAAAATAATAATAATAATGCAATGAGTGTCTCTTCTTGTAAGAAGTCATAAATTTTGAATTTTCTTTCCACATTTGTAAGATTAAAAATGTTATATTTAACAAAAGGAAAAAGACAAAGAATCATGGAGCTTACAAAGTTAGTAAAACTCATATATTGCTTGAAATAAAATAGTAAACATATTTAGGCTCGACTTCTTAAAGTTCATACCAAGTTAAATACTTTTTAATGTTTGGATTATGTTTTCATTTTTTATTAAATAAGTATGAGTTTGCATCCTTTAGAATTGTAAAGTTCGAATTTTATAACAGTTCGTGTTTTAGATTGTGCAAATGAATATGTTACGTAAAAATTTTAATTCATGCAACTAATTATTTTTTATTTGTAGATTTCTTATTTGTAAAAATGCATAGCTTGAGAGGTAGGTTTCTATGTACCTCACATGTCATTAACAAATCCCTAATATAATATAAATAAATTAATATCTTATAAAATAAAATCGCAAGTCAACGTGAGCTTAACTGTCATTTTCCTTAAAATTAGAGGTTCAAACTTTCATTCCCCTAATTTGTTGTGCTAAAAAACCGACACATGAAATTATAGCACATTTTGAATATATCGTTTTGGTTAGTGCACTACTACATAACCTTTCTCATAAGACAAATGGTCTAAATCTATACCTCGATGATATTACCTACAAAACTTAAAATTTGAGTCATTTTCTCTATTTATGCATACGTTGTTTACACATTCTGTAATATTATATTCTCCACAAGAAAGCTGGTTACAAAACTTAAAATTTGAGTAAAATATAATGCTCATGAATATTTACTTAAATCCCTTGCTGAAAAAAGAAATAAAGGGAAAAAGAGTTTTTCTTGTTTGAAAGAAATTCCCAAGATGATTCCCAATTTGGCATCCGTGGATGGTATTATTTTTTCTAAGGAAACAGAACTAAAATCGAAAAACATCACCACAATTTAATAAAGTAAGCCAGTTGGGGTTATTATCAAAAACTAAGTTCCAGAATCACAAAATAGAACTAAAATGTTTATATTTTTATTTATTTCATTTGATAGGTTCATAATTAATTGTTCACGCCGACGTGAAGATAAGCTCAACCATTGAAAACTCTTTACTTCCTATCATTTTATTTATTTGTATGATGTCGTATCTTCAAAATTAATTATTTACCTAGGTTAGGGCTGACATTTAAAATTTTTTTTGAATATTGTTAGATCACTAAATTTGTGATATACTTCGAACCATGTTTCAAATTATACATGAAAAATACTGTTTCTTTTTTTCGCTCAACTTTTTGTTTTTAATGAAATGGGAAACTATTCACAAATGAAGTAAATCAGTTATGAAAGTAAAGAAAAAAAAGGGAAAATTCTGGAATAATATTCTTTAAATGAAACCAATGAAGAAGGGACAGAATTATATTAAATTATAGGCATTATATATTTAAGAGGCATACCCATGAAACACACGTGAATCAATTGAAAACAAAGTGGATTAGACCAATTTCATTTAATAACTTTTCCATTAAAAAAAGAAAGTAAGAATAAAAATCAAGGGGAGGGGAGATTTCCTAAACTATTATTTAAAAAATGTGGGGAAAGATTAAGGTAGTGTGACAAAAATAATAATAATAATAGCGACGCGTTTACAAAATAAGCCCAAAATAGGGCCGCCCCATTAACGTAGTATGACATTCCAGTTTTCACACTACACCAATTTTTTATTTACAAAAAATAATAAAAACAGAGCTTTTGTATTATTGGTCTCGGCAGCAGCGACATTAGGGGACCTCGTTCGGACCGGGGCTGGGGACTGAGACTTTGTCTATCATTGTACACATTGTTAATACGATTGTGGTTCTTTTTTACTCATCGATCTTAACGAATCTCATTATTTGAATCGAATATTCATTTGAATTTGAATTTGTTGAACTCTGATACTGTATTAATATTCATGGAGCTACATCTCTCAACCAATTGAAAATATGAGAGAAATATAGATCATGTCTATTATAAATCTATACAAGATTTCTTTTCTTTTCCATGTGTGATCTTTAACATACATGACCCCCGAATGTTTTTCATCATCGTTATTTAGCTATATTTCTCATTTTTAAAATTTAAAACTTTAGAATATCAATTTACACCATGTTTACTCGTAAACCGAATAAAAATTAGTCGAAAAAATGTAGATATTATTTATTTGATATTATTTAGTATAAATTTTTTAGAATCGAAATCACATTATTAATTTGTTTAATTTTTTACTAAAACCGTCCAGACTCACCCAAGAAATTAGACTTATAACAATTACAAATAATTAAAATACATATATTTGTTTATTTCTGATTATTAACAAATATACTAATTAAATAATGGGAAATATTATTTTTTAATTAAAGAATAGTATATTTTATTTTATAGTAATTTATTTTTTAATTTTAACCATTTATTTAATATTAACAAATAAATAAACAAAATTTTATCAACTAACAAAATTAATATAATTTTATTAGACCTACCACTATCATTAATATAAAATTTTATTGTTATAATATCTAATGACTTAACAATTTTATTGATATTAAATAATAATATTTTAAGCCATAAAATAAAATAAATCACCAACCAAAAAATTCTGTCCTCCATCCTACTAAAATAAAAATTAAAGTCATGAATTATTAAGGGACGGAGAGAAAGAATAAAGGCTATAAATTAATTGTTGAAAATGTTTGGAGCCTACAATTCAGAAATAAGAATGAATTTGGGAGATGATTCTTCTCAATGTATACGCCAATTAATTCAATTCGCATATTGTAGTAAATATTTTTAAAGGAGACGAATGTTGCTTGCCATAGTTTACTTCTCCATATAGGTGTATGAGCTTGCTGATTCGATATGGGAGGGAGAATAATATATCATTCACGATGTCCAAATTTGTAGAGGTTGCGTACCAACGTTTGCATGTCGAATTGCTCGCCATTTGGGAGGATCTCCACCTCGCTCACAGATTAAGAGTTCTACAAATTTGATTTTTGAATTCGACTGATTCAACTTCTATTGAGGTAGAAGAAGACTTTGAGTGAAGCGGAAGTTTGGGTGCAATTGGAAACGGAGGAACTTCAAGAATGAAATTTGTGCCGGAGAGATTTCAACATATTGGTTGATCGTGTGGTCAAGCATATTGCTTTTGCTTCTCACTCCTCCGTTTATTATGAAATTCTTATTTTTGTAGTAGCTTCTTAACGATATTAAAGGATAGTCCGAGTAATATTTAT